TGTATCACATTGAAAAGCTGTGACAGGAACAACACCGAACTTAGGTCTCTTCCGTTGAGAGGAAAGAATAGCGCAAACCTAAAGCAAGTTCTTGAGACAGTCCCTATGAATATGTACTCACTTGTACCCCATATTCCTTATCCAAAGGTACATCTACTTGAAAACTATTGACAGCCCCATCAACTTTGACATCTTTCTTACTCAAAAGTTGCCATGTTGTGAAAGGCGGAGAACCCTAAAATATCCTCACGTCACTTTTCTTTTCTCAATCCCTTTTAACCTTTAAATGGGCCAAACCATAACGTAAATGGTAGTACAATGGAAGTTTTGAGGTTGGAGGTATCCATTCTATCTTTGATTTTCCATTATTTCCCGTAATTGTAATATTTTCTGTACAAACCGGATTTGCTTCTGCATGGTTGAGAATATATTAAGATATAACAGGAGTATTATAAAACCTCGACTACAGATATCCATTTCTGGACGTTTGTCACAATCAATGTCAATACTCTTCTGAATACTAAATGGCTCCAGACGGACACACCTGATAACAGCCATGCATTAAAGAGCAAACTGCCAAAACAACCTTGGTAGCATTTTAACTTCTACCCACAGCCTACATCTTGCCTCAAGCACGGACGTGGGCAAACCAACAGCCAAACGTCCACCTCCTCGTATAATTTCCTATAATTTGTTATGTGCTCATTTCATTATGCGTAGAGTACTATTTTAGGTTGTGGAAGTTCTTCTTCTGGTGTTCGGCATTGCATTGGATAGAGAGCTGGAGCCTCATATCCATGAATATCTCCATCTGTATAGCCGCTATAATGATTCCTTTTAAAAAGAAAAAAAGGACAAGTTTCTTTTTTACCTTGGCAAAGACCAGCGGACAAAAACTCGAAGAGTATTTAAAGTTGTATTCACAACCGGATTTTCGACCACAATCTGGACAAGAAAAGAAGAATTGTTATTTATATTCATATTTCCTCTTCATTTAAGCAACTTTATGCTTCATTTAAAATATTGTTGTTATTGAAGAGGATCGAGAATTACCTCGTCCGTTGTTAATGCGAATGGTGGAAGCTTCACGGGTATAGCTCGAGGGCGATAGATTACAAATTCTTCAAGAGGGTTCGTACTTCGGATTACAACAATTACTCGAAACTGGTAATCTCTACATGGATCTAATACGGAAAACGTTATTGTTGGCTTAACCGAAGCACCCTAAAAGATCGAAGACAATTCGTGCAGGAATCGAAAAAATAATTTACCGCGAAATACCACTCATCTGGATAGGTGCTAATGGTGGAATACTCAAAGATGTAGGCAAACGCAATGGGATGCTCTTCCATTTGAATGCGAATAGTATGAGAATCTATGTACTCCGTGCTTGCATCAGGTACAGATGCCAGAATTTCAGCTTTAATATTCCAATAGATTATCGTTTTTTTCAATTTGCTTTACCGTCATATAATTTTTTCTCTACAGAACTGCATGTTCGTTGTGTTTTCTCAACTGGACAATTGCAATATACAGCTGATGGCTTAAAGGGCAAAATTAGCATAACTAAGAGGTCACGTGATGTTCCCGTGAAACTATTAGAAGTGCATTTCATTTTCATTTCAATTTCATGTGTACGTGCAAATCGGTTGGATTTTTATCAAATATCCTTCAGAAATTATTATTTTTGTAATAAAAGAGGTCAATTTGATTGTTTCGGAAAGAATAAGTACTTGACTGTTTGATTCACAACTTCTAATATTTCAAGAAGATCATCTTGAACTAATTTTAGGAAAGAAGATATAGCAATCAAGAATGATTCCGTCTCCAATAGGATATCTTGTGAAAGTTGTTCTCACCGTTCCTGATTGCATGCAGCGTGAGAAGCATTCCAGAGCACATTTGGCGCGTTGACTTGGAGCTGCCCAAGCTGTGTATGGCAGGAGAAGGCAGAATAACCATATTCTGCTCATTCTGCAAAAGATAAATCTGCTTTTTTTTTCAAAAATCATAAATGGCCATGAGAGACAAGAGACGGGAGGCAACAATCAAAGAGATAGAAGACATAAATTTATTTAGTTCCCCAAGATTAGTGACAGGAGTTGCAGCTCAAGCTGTTCTGATTTCGACCATCTGTTAGCCATTGCCTTTGATGGACAGTCTTGATTTGCGTAGACGATAACCGTTCATGATTTCATTTTGAAATATAAACAAAAGAAAAAAAACTGAATACGTGTTGAGATCGAAGTGTAAAAGAATGGTAATATCTATCTCGATTCGGTCTAGACAAACAACAACTTCTTAAAAATGCAAATTCATCTCATTTTGACAGCATCGAGCACTGACCTCCTTTCTTGAAACTTTTTTTTTAACATCTCAAACTGCATAATGCTATAGAAAAATGTCAAATTATAGTTCGTAGTTGACAAATTTAAAGATGGTAGCATCGGAACGAATCAAACTTTCAACGAATTTGTTACGTTTGCAAAAAAAAAAAGAAGACGTGAAGAGTAGAAGGAAGAGAGAGATAGAGTAGACAAAAACAATAGAAGTATAGATTTCGAGGTAGAAAAAATAATAAAACAGACATGGCGAACGAGGACGATGATCTGTATTTCCACATTTTGCTAGTCATAATGACAGAACTGAAGGAAGAACGTTGACGATGAAATAATTTCTGACTGACAGGACTTCTTTCTCTCTTTAGTTTTTCTTTTTCTTCTTTACATTGCTTTACAGAAAATGGACAATGGTCAATGAGAAGGAGGAAGAGAGATAGAGAGAAAAGCGATTACACAGAAACTCTTCAAGATCATTAAGCCTCAACAACAAAATCATATTCGTCTTCTTGTATTTATTTATCTGAGAAGATAAAAAGATGCCTTTCTTGTCAGACTATTTAATGAATACAACTAAAAAAGCATCAAAGAACCTTTCTCATTCATAATTTCATGAAGAAGACTCTTCATAGATGCTTTTGACATGATGCGCGACGATGGTCAGAGAATTACTATAAGATAGAAAAGTTCGGCTGACAGCCGGGTGGCAGCGTCAAGACGTCGGCGTGATCGGACGCGTTACATTCAAGATTCTTGTGTCTGATAAAATGAATCCGATTTGAGCATAAGTGGCCATAAATGGAAATATAATGAGTGAACTATGTAATTTTGAGGTTGAAGCTTCGCTCAAATCATATGGTCGAAAGAAGATAAAAGACATTTAAGCTCAATTGATTCTAAATTTGGGATTGGAGCATTCATTTTTCAAACTAATTTTGGGAGTGAAGTGAATTATTCGGATTTGAAAAAACGAACGCAGATTGAAACAGATGGACAGAAATACTCTTTAAGAAGAGAGGTGAAGGCTTGAGATAGAATCAACACAATCCTCCTGTTGTGGTAGAGAAAGGCATGTGAAGAGGTGAATTTGAGCTAAAAAATTGAATGAAGAGGTTAAATGAGAAGAGGTTTCCTCCTTTAATGAATGGGGTCAGTTCTTCTTCTACTCCATATGGTTACTACGAAATTTGCATAAAAGGTCGCCACGTACACGTAGATCTCACGACAGACACAAATGAGGCAAGTTTTGATTCAAACAGAAATAAATAAAAGAAAACAATTATAATTCGGCGTTATGAAAGAGGAAATGGAAAGTTTCAATAGAAAACTTTTACGAGTCTGTCTGGGCTCATTCATCAGACCATCGGGTATTTAGGAAATGTATACAAGCAGACAGTTTCATGGCTGACCAAGTAACGAAGGTGGAGTTGAGGGCTAAAAGTAAAGAAAGTAAAGGGAGAAGAAGAGGAGAATGATTTTGAAAGTTCAAGAAGCAGAAAACAGGCGACAGCATTTCCAGCATAAAACTCCTGAAGTAGAACTGAGAGTACCTTCAAAGAGAGAAAAAGGAAAGAGGGAGAGAAATTCAAAAGTGTTGCGTGAAGAACAGGACACAAGGATTAAGGATTTCTTTAAAAGGAGAGAGGGAGAGATTGAGTTGAAAAATAGAAAGTGAGAGAGAGAAAGAGGGAAGGAGGGATGGAGGCTACAAGGCCAGTCAGTCATTGTAGTCGTTGAAGTCAACGACGTCAGGAGGTCAGTTCAGTCATCGCTTTAACTTCTGCGTGGTCATCAGACCTTCAGCGTAATACAGCTCGTCTTGACACATATTAAAATGAACTTTCTTCCATAAATGGAGGAATACATAGAAAATAAAATAATTGGACTTTCATTTTTGGTCGAATTCGTGGAAAAACAATCAAATTAAAAATAAGAAAGGAATTTCAACGATGTGAGGAAAGTTGGTTTGGTAAGACATTCTATATAATGACAGCGAATCGAGTCAATGTATGAGAGGCTTGAAAAAAAACTTTTTTTTGTAATTTGTATAAGTGTGTACGTAGAACGGCAGAAGAGCAATTTAATCTTCGAGACGAATGAAAGGATTAAATTATGGAATAAACTATTGAGAGCTATATATTACGGAGAAGAAAAAACTCGAACGCAACCGATTTCATCTTACACAATCTAGAAAATGATTCTATTCAGTTTTCAAACTTACGTGTATAGTCCGTAGCGGGCACATGAAAAGAATCCTTCATAAACCCAATGAGTTGGTATTGGTAATTTGAATTTTAAGACTGATTGATGATTCAACCCGAGATTCGTCAAGATTTACTGAATTATATGTGACTTTTATTAATTGACAACGATCGCCCGAACATAATATTTTCTTCTATTTACCCGAGATCAATCAATACCTGTGCCATCCGTATATCATATCTGTGAACTCGCATACGGCTTAGGCCAGTAGCAAATCAAAAAACAAATTAAAAAACAATTAGATAATTAATAGGAGTGATATTTTTATTATGAAAAAAAATAAATGAAAACTACCTGTGCTTAGATGACTCGTAGTACATTCTATGATTCTTTAACTGAATCAACAAATAAAAGGTTATTTCTTCAATAAAAATAAAATGGTAGAGAAAGAAAACATTATTATGTTGGCCATTTAAGTCCTGTCGTCCAGAGAACAAGTCGATTTTCAATCGGTTTCACACTTTTTGCGAAGAACGAGAGCTTATACTTCTTACTGTATACAATTATTCCGAGGCACACGCAAGTTCCAAAGAATAATCTTCTCCACCTCAAATAAATGAAAATTCATTGACATTACATGCTATTCAACTCACCAAGGCGATATGAAATTGGAATATGAATCAGTTCGCGTTAATGGTGGTTGATATGTACTATCGTACTTCGTTCCTTCCTGCAAGCGTTTGTAATTTGATAGTTATATTTTCACATATCTCGTACCAGATAGTTGTAAGAAACGAGGTTAAACTTTTCAAGTTCTTGTAAAACCTCATGAGCTGTTCGAAGTCCACTTTCCACGGCTCCACTCATATATCCCATATGATTTCTAGCGGTCTCTGTTCCACCGAAGTGAACTCTGAAACCGTTTCCAATTCAATTTATCAATTAATGTTGGGCAAAAGCAAATGTGGATGTCAGTAGAAACTTTGATTTCAAACTGAGGAAACTTACGTGTAGAAGGGATCCCTGTATGATTGCCAGTACTCCATACAGCCCGGAGGCAATGAGGACACAGGACACCCGCCATTGAAAGGTTCTTTCGACCATACCTATCAAACATATTTCAAAAACCACTAAAACCTCGAAACAAACTTTGTCTTTATAATCAACAAACTCCAGCATGGCTTTTTCTCCGAAAAATCTCATCAAATCATTCGTCACAAGGTTACACCTCTCCTCAGTCGTATAATCTGAGAACAAAACTTTCATAATCAGAGAAGAGATGGGCAGGGCTAACCAGCAAACTCATCATTCAAAAGAACAACTAATGCCGGAACACCATTCTCGGAGGTATCGTCATGAACGAAAGATATAGGTAAAACCTACAACCATGAGTAGATTAAGAGTGAATGAAAAAGACGAACCTCTCCGGGTATATCAGAACGCCCTGTACTGATAACACTTCCGGAGAACCCAAGATCTCTCCAGAATGTGGTTTCATATGTTATAATACATTTGATGTAGTGTCCGGGAGGTATCGAATCAAACAATCTTTTCTTAAAAAGATCAAAGTTGCGAATGTTAACTGAATCCTCAGACCTTGGCGTTTGGAAGACCTGGTCTGAACTCAATCTTATTACATTCGTGAGGAGGTATTGCTAGAATCAGTCTAGAGCATTTGAGGTTCTAAAAGAATCTATACATTCCCCCAATAGGAGCTCTTAGGACATACTTTAAAAGTTTTCGTACCGTCAGTTTGAAGCAAAGTTATAGCTGTTGTTGCGGAGTTTTCAAACGTTTCGACTGAAGCAATTGATTGGTTTAACCAAATGTTCTCATGTCCAACTTGTTTCGCAAGCTTGGTACAAAATTGGTGAGCCCCTCCCTGTTGGAGAAAACTATGCAATACTATATCAGTGATGTGATCACCTTGATTCGATAAGCTTGAGCTCCATCACCAACATCTTCCATTATATTTTTCATTCCAAAACCTGCTTTGCAAGCGACCAAGTGATACAACATGTTCACTCTAAGTAACATGAAAGTTCAATCACTTGATGTCAACGTACTTATTAGGTTCTGATCCGTATAATGACCGAGATAATATATGGAAGGCATCTATTGTTGTTCTAGACCAGCAATTGGTTTTGATCCAAGTAGCCAAAGTCATATCATCATACTCCTGAGCATCTTTCCATTTGAAGACGTTGTTTGGATCAATCTAAACATTAACTGACAATGGGAAGTTGCACTATGAAAAATTTTACTTTTTTTGCCAAATTGTCGATTTTCCACACAGCGAGGCCCAAGTCGATGACATCACCAAAAGAAAAGTGTCTTCAAAGAAAATATGTGAAAACAGAAAAAAAATTGTTCCTCTTTGAACATACTTGAAACTTCTGAAAGCTACTGCATCTTCATAAGTTCGAGTTTTTGATCTTCCAACAACAGCTTGGCGCAAACCTGCTGTATACTGAGGATATTTCTCCAACTTTAATTCATCCATCAAATCCAAAATACATTTTTGGGTGTTTCCGACCCATTGCCCTCAAAAAACATGAACATACAATCCGTTACGGAACAGTTCTCTTGTTACCTCCCAAATCGAAACTCTCTTTACGGTTTCTCGAACCTTTCATTTCAACCCCAAGCGTTCTTCCACCAACTCTGTCTTTCGCCTCAATCACCAGTACCTGGAAGAAAAATCGATTGACTATTATCATATGAACTCAGGTATTTGTTTACCCGCAGCTCTGGAGATCGTTTCTGAAGCTCACGCGCTGCAGTTAGACCGGCTAATCCGGCACCGGCAATGACTACATCATAATCCATGGACAGATCTATAGGTGGTGTTTCAGTCATATTGTTTCCTTAAACGAAAACAGTATGCAAATACGAATCGGTCGACAAAAAAAAAGAACAACCGCTCGACTGGGCTCTTCCAAGCAAATAACGTAGTCGACGGCAAAGTCACGTGAGGTATGCCAAAGTGGAACGTACGTAGGACAACAATTGCAAAGAAAGGGAAGATAAGATAGAGCTATTCTTATTATGAAACACATGGAATAGTAAATTAAAAGACTGAATTCATTGCAGATGACAGAAAACCAACAACAGGCAAGAAATGAGTCAAATGATAAGAAGAAGATAGTGTACAGAAGCAAGAGGCGCTACGAGTGATCAGAAATGAAAGTTTATTTGAGTCGATAACGCACTTGCTTTTTTCCTCTTAAAAAAACTTTTGTTCGTTCAAAATAAGAAATATTGACCAATTGATTGGTTGAAACGACAATTGGCTGAAAAAATGAAGGCGAAAGATAGCGATTGTTTTTCAATTCGCTGCCTTTATGATATTTCATAACATGGTAGTTAACGTGTTCTTCTTTACCTCTTTTCTCCTTCTCTCCCTCTCTTTTTTCTACTCTTCACAATACGACGTAGCGACAAGCTTGGATAGTAAAAAGAGAGAGAAGAACAGAAAAACGAACTCACAAAACATAGGTTACGAGGTTATTTGTAAGTTGCAAGTCGAATGAAACGGTGGAAACCAAACAAACACGTGTTATACGGAAGAGAGTGCAGACAGTCAGACGACACTGTACTAGAGATCACACCATCATGAAAACAAGGAAAGGAGGGAAGTTGGTAATGTTTCGAAGACTTTTTCTTCTCTCCTTCCCAGAAAAAGAATATTGAGAGTGAGAAGCAATGAAATGTTCAAATAATAAAGCGAAAGCTTATCCTTGAAAAGAAAGTGAGAACGTCTTTGAGAAGAGATTTATGAAAAAGGCGAAGAAAAGCAAAAACGAAAATTATCCTTTCGAATTACTTTTTTTCAAATTGAATCTTTCATTTCTCTGAATGTTCCTCAACTCCTATCCCTCCCTTCTGTGCGTTCCTTGTTTTGGCATCACCCCAACACGACAAAACGACATTTGAAAGTTTTTGAACAACCAGTTGAAACAAAAAAAAATCTCTTATACGTTCTCTGCTACTTTTCATGAATGAATTTGTTGAAACTTCCATATTTGACCATCAAAAAGCTTTCAAAATGTTTCTCGAACTAAACATTTGAGTTGCTCTCACTTCTATCTCTCTCTTTCTTCCTCTACCAACAAAACACTCGTAATCTCATGAACATCAACTTTTCGTTTTTTTTTTCAGTCTCTCTCTAGCATGCCATTCATAAACCTTCCGTTCTCGGAAAAGCCAACTGACCACACGAAAATAGCCATTTGTATAGAAACAGACGACACGTAACTTCTGGGAATAAATTTCCGCTTCTCTTTTTATACATTATGTGGGCGATTAAGCCTGAACTCCTTTCATGTGCACTTCCCATTGGCAACTTTTTTTTGCCGTTGCCCCTCAATTTCTTGTAGCTAAACTACCTTTTCCAGGTATCCGAGCTGATACCAAATCATAATGCCAACGTAAAAATTTATTTTTCGTGCTTAAGGCGTTTCATCATTCCTTTTTTGATGTCATTTCATATCCAGTTCTAATCTCCTTCGTATCAAACAGGTTACAACTTAGACTTTCTGCTTGAAAACACTCTGATCATCTTCATCCTGAAGTTTCCTTGATTTCCTATAGAAATTTTAAAAATTGTTTTTCATATTTCTCCCGTTTCAAATCTTTAACCCCATTTACGGACCATCTCATGTTGAAGAAGGATCTGTTTCAGGGGGTTCCTTTTGCATGAGTCGAATGTCTCTGCAATCTTGCTAAATTTGAAATAATTCATTAAAATCAATTGCAACTGATCTAGCCATTAAAAAAGTTGTTGAAACTTTCAAAGTTTTTGTCCAAAATTGTGAAAAAGGAAATCTGACGCAAGAATTTACAAGGTCAAATGAGATAACACCTTTTTCATTTTCTTCATTTGCAGAACTTTGTAGAATCTTCGTTAACTATATGCATATAGTTAACACGATTTGCTTTTGTTTATTTGTCTGTTGTCGCTCAACATAATTATAGGTTTGCAATAATCAAATAAATTATATCATTCAGTCATGTTCTCGCTCCTATTGATGGACGTATATGGAAGGAGAGGATGAAGTCTTATTATCTCTCTCCTTTTCTCTTTAAACCAATGTAAATTACTATTTATCTCACTCTCCCTATCTATACCTCACACATTCTCTCTACAAGCCAATTGAATAGTCTTTCATCTTCCATCTTCATTCGTAAATCTGATACTCACAGCTTCCTTCGCGCCATTACTATTTTGAATTTCACGTGAATGCACGTGAAAATGAGATGGACTAATGGCGTCATCATTTTGCAAGCTGCAGTTCAATAGAGCGGTTGTTTTTCAGTTTTCAACCTTCCTCATTCCAAATCTCTCTCATTGTCTTCGTCGTCTTTATTTTTTGTATTTTTTTTTTCTGTAAATCAATGAGATTCATCTAATTCTCCAGAACCTACTATTATCTACTTTATATATATTTCTGGCGTTGCCAACGTTAAGCGCATCTCTCTGTTCTTCCGAAGCAATCCTCTTAGGTTTTGAGCTATTAGAGACCGAATACGTCATCAATTAACTTCTTTACTTTAGAACAACCTAGAGAATGAGGAAGACTACTAATAAATATAAACTTGAGCTTAAAGTCAACTAATACAACAAAAGTCGATAATGATCATTTTGTCATTTTATTTTCACACCTTATATGACTAAGAAAACGATTTGTGCGTATGTTTATTGGTTTTCATCTTCAAAACAGCTATGAACGAGGTGATGAATTCAGACGTTACACTCAAATTGTATTGTTTTAATGAATTTAGATAGTTTGAAATGATCATAAATAGTAATAGATAGCTATCTTACTTATACTGAAACTGATTTACAGATGAGCATTAACGATATCAAGGGCTTTCACTCATTAAAGCTGCACTCTCTCATATTGACATTATATTTCGGAAGAACGCTTTGAAAAGTTTCTCAACCTAACAGTTTCATCTCAATATTTGACTAAATAGATTGAAAGATACAAAGTATGTGTGACGTAAGAACTTCACTCATTTAAAGCATTTTTAAGCTGACAAACTTTTCGTTTTGACTTAAGCTCCGTACTTCATATGATTTTCGAAAGTTTCCATTTAGACATTCAACTTGTACGCCTTTTTTTTCTTGTCAGCTTCATCACACTCACTCACTCTCACTCACTCATCTACTCACTCATTCGTCACTGTCGGCCACCTTTTGTTCAATTTCTATAATTATCTTTATAATTATTTGTGGTTTATAAATAAAATACTTGTAAGATTGGAGGCATGGCAAAGGTCTCCTGTTGTGTGAGTGGGTCATGGGTGGCGTTTCATTCAAATGGTCATTGCTTCTCCTCCTTAAATCCTCATTTCCAGGCTTATAACATTTTAATTTTGTGTTCTAAAGCTTCTACTCATGTATCTTATTACTTCTCTTCATGTAAATTATGCTTAAGCCTCTTGTCTCTCTCAAGATTTTATCAACAAATCTCAGCTAACAGCATGTTGTCTCATCTGAAGCTGCTCTTCATCTTTGAACTTGGCAATCGTTTCCCACCTTATGAATGATAGCATACAGATTTCGAAATACTCTTCGTATTGTCAACCGTTCTTATTGATATTATTCAAATGAAACGTAAAAACATCTTTCATATGTTCTTTTCTTTTTCTTTTCCTGTCGTTCCAATGCCTCAAAGCCTAGCAAACTCAACTTTCATCTGATGGACAAAGGAACAGCTGATGCTTGTCCCAGCTCTTCTTCTTCTTCAACATTTGATCCTCAGAGATTATCAGCCAAAGGAGATAATTTCAATCAAAATGTATTTATGTGTATAATATCACATAAATCTTTGTTAATTTATCTTTGCTAACATCGTGTGATATTGGCTATTTGAAGATTGACTAGCATACTCTCTCTCTCCTCGTCTCCCTCTTCTGTAACTCGATCTTGTTTATGTCCTAATCTTTTTGAGTTTGTTTCCACATCCTTCGCATCATTCTTATTACTTTTCTAAAGTTCTACCCTGTGTCTGTTTTTTTCATTCATTGTTTTACTTTCATAGAGAGAGTTCAACCTCTATTTCTTTTCTGACCAGCTTCACCCTCTGACCAGACTAACCACTTGACGCATCTTCTCCATCAGCCACTTCAATTATAGTTTAATTGCCTTTATGAATCAAAACAAATTTAGAACAATTTAAATTTTTTTAATCTTCTCTTCTCTCTCTCTGTCTATCTCTCTTCATCTTTTTTCTCTTTACACCATTGTTCTCGCATTATTTTTGTAAAAAAGGTGAAGATGCTTCAAACCTCACTTTACTCTTCAGAATCAAAAATCTTCAACTGAGCTGATAATCATGATTATGGAACAGCTTATCTCCTAAAAGAAACAAGCGCTTGTTGTTAACAGCTGAGAAAAAAACTGTTTCCCCACTTTTTCTTACATGTCCTTTCTCTATGTTCCAGTTTTCTTTCGCTTATCCATTTTCCATAACTTTTGTCTATTTTCAGACTTTTTTTTGTCTCACACACACAGACAACTCTTCTTCCCAGTTCTTGCGACATTTCTTTCGCTCTGTGTTATTCTTTGCTTCTCATCCGTCTCATCCGTTTAAGAAGTTTCTTCTGTTCAAATCTGAACTCAAGACGTTTTATTTGTTTGTCGGTTTTAACCTCAGCTGTCTCGATGCTGCCCTTTAAGATGGTATTGGCGATCTTGATCTGCATCGAATGCTGAGTCTTTCCATCGGCTTGTTGCTCTTGCTCTTCCAACACATTTCATTTGTTTTACCATTGAGCAAAGAGTTTAAAAGTTTTATGAACAAAAAGAACACAAGAATAGAAGTTTTTTTGTTTCTTTTTGTCTTCTCCTC